ACCCAGGACAGGACTGTAAAATTTAGGACAGTTCCAGCCAAATTTAGACTGCTGACGGCTTAGGCAGGGTCTAATGTAAAACTTTCTCCAGGAGTCCTGTACGATTGCCTGAATGGTTTTAAAGTGGTTCTGCTCTGAAAAATGAATCTTAAAAATGGCATAAGGGGTTTCCCTGTTTATTATCATTCAATTTCTTAATCCAATAAGCTCAGTTTACAGACTCAGCCTGGGAGCTTAAGAGTCCACCTGCATTGTTTGCAAAAGAAGGAATAGGTGTGATGGCAAGGCTAATGGGTGTAAAAAAGCAGTAAAAGTGTTTCTCTCATCCATGTCAGCAGATATAACTGAATACAGAGATGAAGCAGATCTACTGTGTAGATAATATGACATTTTTACAGTCATTTTTCATAGTAGAGCCAAACATGTACTTTTCTGGTAGGTTTTGGGTCCCCCACCGTCCTCCCCCAAACAGACATCCCCAAGTTATACAAACAGCTTAAAGGAGGATTTGAAAGACCCCAAAAGCAAATTGCCTGTCTGGTCAGCATATATCCCTTTTGAATGGAAATGGAAAGGACCCTGGGTAAATGAAAAAAGAAGGGCTGACCTTCTGGGATTTAGCTATCTAAATAAATATGGTGATTAGCATATCAAGAAATATGTATTTTATATAGCTCTTGTTCAGCCAGTGGAATCTTTGGTCAGAAGGAAGGAGGGAGTCCTAGGAATTGTGGTGAACCAGCTTGTGTTTGCTAAAAAATTTTGAGGGAAGATGATGGTAAAAGAAGCCAAATGCATTGGAATGAGATCCACACAATGCTAGGGAGAAAGGCAGAAAAGCACCTTGAATTTGGGAGAGGGGACTTCTTTTCTGATCTGAAGGTCAAATTCAAGAAACAGATTAAAGAGGAGTCCAAAGTGAGCAGAACGAAAAGGCTTCCCCTAATGCAATCATACCTGGCACCTTGTTATCAGAAGGGCATCTCATGGAGGCTGACATGTCTGCCCAGAGCTGGAGCACTCAAGAGACCTCTTCTCCAGGAGCTTGAAGGGGTTCAGGCAACAGGAGGCACAGAAGGCATCACCTGATGAATTGATCATCCCTGATCCACAGCTGGAGCTCCTTCTTCTTCTGTTTACTAGAGCAGTTGCCACAACCTTGCTTGAAGAGCTTTACTGTACCCATGCCCGTTATTTTCAGAAGAAGAGGAAAAAACTGATCTAATGGAAGTGACACAGAAACTCACTCAGTATTCTTGATTGTGACTGGAGATTCTTGATATGGTGATACATGGGACGGAGAAGCAGTCCACTGGATCTGGATCGGTGGAGCCCCAGCCCAAGCAGAAACAAAAATCCATATGAGTTATATTCTATCCATGTTCCTTGTGCAGAACTTCATTTGATGGCAGCAGATGTTATCTCAGCAAAGACTGTGGATACTAGATGGTCATATATTTGCATGTCCAAATAACTAAACATGCAGAAGCCTATATCAAAATTACATTAGTAAAAGTTACATTTATGTGTTGTTGGGTTCCCCCCCATCCAGCATACTGATAAATATTCATATACATACAAAAAATATGAATCTGCTATAGGAAACAGGAAAAAAATAGTTCATCATAAACACATGAAAGAAAAGATTTGACAGAAACACCATTTTGAAAGTAATGAAAATGATTTCTTCTGCAACATCAACGATAGAAAGCAAAAGGTCAAAAATCACTTCATAATGAGTAAGACTATGATTTAGTCACAAGTATTTTTAGTAAAAGTCACAGACAGGTCACAGGTGCTAAATTAGTCACTAAATCTTAGGTGCTGGGGAGGAGGGGGCTGCTGGGGTTGCGGGGGGGGGGAGGGGCGATGCTCCAGCCGTCGCTGCTGCTCCTGGGGGGGGGGGGGGACAGCCCACGGACCCTGCTGGGCTGCTGATCCTGGGGCGGGGCAGCCAGTGGCCCTGCCACTGCTGCTCCCCTGGGCGGGTGGTGGCCCGGGACCCCGCCACTGCTGCTCCCCTGGGTGGGAGATGGCCCGGGACCCCGCCACTGCTCCTCCGGGTGGGGGGTGGCCTAGGGCCCCGCCATCGCCTCTGCACCTCCAGGCAGGGGGCAGCCTGGAGCCCTGCCGTTGCCACTGCTGCTCCGGGCGAAGGTGGCGGTGCTCTTCCTGGACCACTGCTCTGGGGCAGCACCCAGGACCAGTTGCCTGGGGCTGCCAGAGTAGCGGCCGGTGCAGCTGGTCCCAGGGCCACCCCAGCTGCTCGGGCGGCCCTGGGGTCAGCCACACCAGCTGCTGCAGCTGTGGAAGTCATGGAGGTCCTGGAAAGTCACAGAATCAGTGACTTCTATGACCTCCGTGAAAGACTCTCAGCCTTAATAATGAGAGTTTCTTTGAAATATGAAATCTGTAAATAGGAAACCTGTTCCTAATTATTGAAATCATATATGTAATGCAAATCACAGCTCAAAGCTTTGTGGCTTAAATAATTCTTTTTGGCAAAGTTCCACACTGCAAAATTTTTCTGTATTAATGCATGCACACTGGAAAGAGGTGCATGTATAAATTCTTCTCCCACGATGCAATAGATACAGTCTTAAAATATTGTCAAAACAAAGCAGTACAGCAACTTGATTTATTACACGCAGATTCTTCTGCATTGTTGCTTAACAGTACACTGGTCCAAAATTACTAAAATACTTAAAAAACTATACATTATGTAAACAAAACATAAATAAGACAGCATAGTTCTTTGTACATATAGTTTAGTACAGATTGTTAAGGATCAGGAATATGTACAATTTTACACCATGGACTGGATTTTTACAATGCATAAATATATTTTTTACAGAAACAAATCAAATAAAAATAAGATTTGACAAAAATAAAAAAAGACACATACTGTTATAAACATGCCGCCTAATGGTTCAAATCGTAAAATGAAACATGTCAATGTAAATGTGCAAAATGCTAGATTCCTTTAAACTAAAATCAAATTTTACACTTTTAACATTTTATATTAACAAGTTGGTCATTTTGACCATTTTATTAAATAACCCTTTGAAAGCTTAGCTTAGAGGGAAATCAAACAGATCCTCTCACATCTCCCACAAGGAAACTGAAAACAGCTGCAATCTAATACAAAGTAGTTTAAAGAAATCAACTATTTAAAGTATGTTTCAAACAGTGTAAAAAATGTTCAACAGTTATAATGATTTCCAAAGTCCAAAGAATGCCCCAAACATGTGAAATTGGCTCGCTCACTCCAAATTCAGGAGGCGGCTTTGTCAGATTTACCTAGGCCAGATGACTGAAAAGCAGGGAAGACACTAGTAGCATTTATGCTTTTGGACACTGCAACTGGTGACAGGGATGAAGACAGAGAAGAAACCACCTTTGATGCTGGAGTATTTATAGCATTCAAAATAGCTCCTTCTGGGCTGACCAACAGTTTCTTGATAGATGTATCCAAGTGAAATACTGAAGTGCTATTTGGTAACTGAGAGTTACCAGCATTTATGGCAGGAACCAAAGAAGTTTTAGCTAAAACATTAACTGGAGGTTTTATCACTGAAGACACAGACAGTGTTGTTGTAGAGGGTGGAGCGCATGATTTAGCAGCAGTGTTTACTATCTGTGGTGTTGCATGTACGATAGGCAGAGTGTTTGCTGTCCCAAGAGAGTTCACAATTTTTGTAGAGCTTTTCAGAGGATGTTTTGATGTCTGCCAACTTAATGAATTACTTGATGCTAGTGTGATGTTCTGGGGAATATGATTAACAAATGGTACACCTCGAGCCCCTTGGCCATTGTTAAGAAGTAGAGGAGGCCCATGTTTTGGATTAGCAGAGATGAGAAGAACATGGCTGCCTGCTCCAAGGCCTTGCGGTGGAACAATAAATCGAGTGCCATTAATCATGATGTGAGTTCCAGGTGCCAAAGGCGTACAAGTGTTAATAACTATTTTCTGTTGAATACAAGTTTCATTCAACTGACCCATTGCCTGGCTAGTTACAGTCGGTGAAGCAGCAGCAGTCTGAATGACAGAGGCACCTGGAGCACAAGAGTAAGCATGAGCTGGTTTTGCTAAACTAGGAGGTATCTGCTGGCATGGGAGAGAAGCAAAGTTGGAAAAACTAATTATTTTACCTGTATTTGGTGAAGCAGATGGCAATACATTTTGAGGTTTGTGAAAGTTTGCATTAGTTGGCACTGCAGCTGAAATTCCTGGTGACTGAATTTTTACCAGTGTGGGGGGCTGTCCTTTTGGAAGGGGCAGACACTGTGCAGCAGCTGGAACTGCTGTCAAGCGAGGAACAGTCTGAATGACTTTAGTGGAGGCTGCCACAGGTCCAGGCAAGGTAACTGGAAACTGTAAAGCAGATGATACACTTTGAGAAGATACTCTTGGTTGTGTAGTTGAAATAAGAACAGATGACGCAAGATGTCCTGTTTTCACAGTTGATATGGCCATAGTATTTCCAATATTTGATGTACATAGTCGATTAGTTAAAACTGGCCTTATTCTTGAAGAAGTGTCATTTCCACTAACCAAAACAGAGGGTCGCGTGCCAATAGAAGTCCCACTTGGTGTCACTGAAACAGAATCTAAACATGCATTTGCTGTTGTTACTGTAAAAGCTTTTGCTGCTTTTGTTGCAATACCTATAGATTCATTAACAGATGTAATACTTTGACTCACAAAACCTGAACATCCTGGAACCAAACTACCACTTGTTGACAAAGGCAAAATAAAACCCTTGCTGTTTATGTCATCTGTTCCTTTGGGGGCTGCAGATTTCAATATGTTAATTGGTGGAACATGCTGTGCACTGCCTGTGGTATTTACAATGGCTTGACCTATGTTTAGTCCAATTTTAACATCTTTTACTTGAGACACAGTAGGTGATGAACTTACTTTTACTGGTGCCCCCATTGTAGATGGAATTAGAAGTAACTGAGGTTGTTCCGGGGTGTTAACATATGTTTTGCCTATGGAGGAAGGCAGGGCCTGTTTTAATGATTCTGCAACTAGACTGGTGTTTGATGGGCTACTGGGAATTGGAGTATTAATGAAAACTAATTTTTGGGCAGTAACACCAGTGGATGTTGGAGCAGGTATTATATTTACTCCTGTAGCTCCACAAGGAGAAAGAATAGGTGGATTTGTGACCAACATAAGTTTTTGAATCGGAGTACCACGGATCACATCTCCATTTGTTGCTGTAGCAGTCTCAGGTTGTGTAACAGGATATTTTTTGGTTTTAATATCAACTTGTTGCTGTGTTGAAGGAGTCTGGGTAATGCCTGTGCTCCTTTGTTCAATATTTCCTGAAGAAATGCTAACTACATTAACAGTACTGTTTGGAGTTGCTGGCACCAAAGTGCTAGTTGATGAAATAGAGGACAAGAAAGTAGGAGATGATACTTCTTGAGTTTTCTCTATTACTTGATCCAAACTGCCACTAGTGGGAAGCTGCCCTAATGGAAATTTGAGATTTTTCCCTATTATCTGGTTTAAGCCTGCAGGAATGGCTGGAATGGTAACAGAAGATGTTGTTGAGGGGGCAAACCCAGAAACAAAAGACTGACCAAACAGTGGGAGACTAGATGCGGCTGTCACCACAGATGAAAAAGTAGAGGTTGACAACGTAGTGGATTTTGGAACCAAAAATGCCTGAAGCTGAGGTGCATAAGTGAAAACTGAATTTGGAGATAAAGTATTAGGTGAAATCTGGTCTGGGTTTGTCTGTACTTTAACAATTCCAGTGTTCCCCCCTCGTGTTGTGACAAGAATAGACTGCGATTCTCTTATACAAACCGTTTTAAGCTCCTGTTTAGCTTCACAGGAGTCACTAGTCTGCTGTGGTGCTACACTGTGAACGGAACAAGTAGTATTTGCAGATCCACTTAGTGTTGTTGCTGATGCCAAAGGCTGACCTAATGTGGAAACAGTGGATGAAGGTAAAGGTACAGAGAATGTGGCAGGTGAAACTGAAGTTTTCGTTTTGCCAGCTTCACTTTGGCTCATTTTAACTGCTGATGCTTGTAAGTTACTTGTTGCAGTTACAGAGGACAAAGGTTGTGGTCTGTTCACTGGACTAGTCACTTGTGACAAATGTGTAACACTCTTGTTAAAAACTGTACAAGACAGTTGAGTGGTAGCATTTACAGCTGGATTTACAAGAACAGGTGCTAAAGAATCATTAACATGTGCTGCCTGTGGAAAAGATGTACAGTGCAGCTTTGCCACGGCTTTTCCTTCTTTGTGTTGTATGAGAAAATTTTGGGGTAAAATAAGAACTTGCTGCATGACTTTTTCTCCTGTTTTAGGGTCAATCACAGGCTGCATTTGAATCTTCACTGAGCTGTTATGGACATCTATTGGTACACAACGGCCACTTGGCATTTTGTATACCATTTGTAAAGGACTATTTGAATTGGTCTCACAGGGCAATGCTGGCTTTAGTGGGGATGACTCCACAGGTGACATAACTGCCTTTTCAGAAGCAAATATGTCCATACCCACAGGGGTTGTCAGCTGATTTGTTAAGGTCACTTTGTTCCCAATATTCTTAGCAAGCAAAGCCTGGATGGGTTTGGTCTCTTTCAGAAAGCTTGATACTGACGTTGCAGAATCTGTCAGGGCAAATGATTCTAGAGGTGATAGCTCGCTTTGTTTCAGTTCACTCAAACAACTGTTAGTGTGCATCTCACTTTCTGCAATCTGGACTGTAGCCTCATTTGTGCTTAATTTAGCTTTCTTCCTTGGTGAAAGGTCTTTTGTGCTATCATCCAGGCAACTATTTTGCTTGGACTGACGTTTAATAGATTTGGGCAGTGTCTTCTGTATTTCTTTAGAAGTCAATTCTTTCTTCAGTAGCCTGCTCCTTCCTGCAGGAAAATCCATTTCTAGCAGTTTCATTTCATCTGCAGAAAGAATTAAAACAAGTAATTGTAAATATATCACAAGTTGAATGTTTGCAACTGACACAGCTATATGATAGTTTATTAGTGTTTAGCTAAAAGCAATGCAGTAGTTTATAAGCATGCTGTCATGTCAAGAATAGTTTCTGATGGGATGACTGTACTTATCACATTACCTACGTGCTTAAACAATTTAAAAAAACCCATAACAACTTAGGCTCCAGCCAATTTACATTTAAAATCCAATTGAGCAAGCACAGAATTTCATTTAAAAAATCATTAAGTCCCAAATTTGTATTTATGAATGCATCAAACTACAACATTTGCATTCTAAGTGACAGCACAGTTTCCAGGATTTGATGTTACAATACTTTAATTTAAAGAAAATTCAGGAATTAAAAAAAGAAATCCAGAAGTTTTTATACAAAACCAATAGATAGTTATGGCTTCACTGCCTTTCATCCCAATTCATCCCAACTATTAAAAGAGCACAGAGAAAATACTAGGGATTGATCAGGAGTAGGAGGGTACACTGAGGTCAACAGGAATTTGCAGTATCGAACTATCCATAGACAGTCCTGTAGCAGATGCTGTCAGTTCTAAGCTCTAATTCACGTTGGGTACCATTTCAGCACCCACCACAGGCCAGAATCCAGAGGGAACAAAGGTAGCACAAAGACACCTTTGCCCATCCTTTCTCTCAGCTATGCTTCCAAGGAGGTCAGCACAGAATCTAGACCAATATAATTCACTATAGTAAAAATAACATGTAATACACAGCTACAACAAACAAAAAACCACAACACCAAACACAGGAAAACTGTAGGCCTTGTAGCACATCCACATGGTCACTAAATCCCAGCTAAGCGCTTACCAAACTCTGAGTGAGCTTTTTGCAGGATCTCCAGATGCTCTGCAGCTTCTGAAGATTTACTGGTTACTGCATTGAAAGATTCTTTTCCATTATCAACTTCACCTTCTTCATTACTCCATAGTTCTCTGGTAAATTTATCATGGTCTGGCTGTCTTTTGAAATCATCATAGTCCTTCTTCAGTCGAGACCTTGAACAGAATGTCAGACATAATGACTAACTTCTGCAACCTATTTTAAATATTTTATTAAGAAAATACTTAACTGTTCATACTTGTACCTATACTTACTGCCCAAAAACTTCATTAACATAGTTAAGATTCCCTAGCACAGGCTTGTGCCCTTCCCAACTGACCACAGTGACTAAACTTAACCCTCTGAAAACCAGGAAATACGGAGCTACGGGTAATGTCTCCCCTCTTGTCACAACCAAAATTCTGTCCCCCTGGAGCTGGCAATAGTTACTGGGACCAAATCAAATCTGACCTATTGCTAACAGTATCTGCCACTTTTTGTGTTGTATCCAACACTATTCTATGCCGTCATTCCTCTTCATACACTCTCAGAGACCCTCACTGTTTTAGGTGCAGCTGTATTGGTTCAGGAATCAGTTGCAGCAAGTTCCCCGAGCTCACCTTGACATCTGAGTTGAGGTACAGCTCCAGCTAGAGAAATCAGGGATCTCTGCTTTTGGTCTGTGTTATATACTAGATCCAATTAGATGATCATAATGTTTCCTCTTGACTCTAAAAATCTAAGAATGCCTGAAAGAATTTTTAAAATGTCTCGTCTCAGGGTTGCTACATCAGTTGCTATTTACCTCCAGTGCCCGATATTCCACTAGGTAGGTAAAGAAGATGGGACCATAAGAGTGCTTCACCCCATTTTAAATACAATTTTACATATTCTCAGCGCCCACCAGAATTCCACATCTGTCCTAGCATTCACACACTACCAGGCACTCTTTGTCCTCTGTTCTGCACTTCTGCTCTGGGAAGTTCTACAGTTTGTTGGAATATATCAAAGTGAACCAGAAGGATAAGATATTGGTAACTGAAGATGATGACTGAGAGGGAGTCCTTAGTACAAGGTGTTAACAACTAGCAAGTCTGGAGATTTGTCTAGAACAGGTAAAGTGGTCAAGTGTAATATACAGAGCTAGAAAGACCTATTAACAACATTTTAAATACAGCTCCCTTGATGTGGAGCTTGGTGCTGATCTGCAGTTGAGGTCAAATCTGACACCAGCTGAGGTCAGTCCAATCAGGTAATCTCAGTTTCGTGCAAATCAGTGCCAAAGTTTGAGCCACAAGTGGGTGCAAAAAATTTGTAAGAACAGGAAAATTTTATTCAGTTAAAGGTGTTGTATCTCAGGACCCATGAGACCGAAGGAATCCAAATTTCCATAATTAACTCTACTCTGGGCATTGGCTTGGCATACTAATTCTAAAAACAATCTGAGTATGCATGGGTATTTTAGGGCATTTTGAAAAATCAGTTGTTAGTCAAAAAGCTCTGCTCAATCATATCTATGGAGTTGTTAGCACTCCTGCATAACATACAAACATATAGCTCTTTAAACTAAAATACTGTCTATACCTCACACATAGCCTTGAAGGATTGTTGTCACCAGGATTTTAGCATCAATTATTACTTTAAAAAACGTAACTTTTGTGTTTTGTTCATCTCTCTGACATTGTTCCAAAGGGTCTCTCATTTACCTGTTTCTCTGAAAAGCCTTCATTAGTTTTGGTTCCCATGGTAACAATTCATTTAGCAGTCGTACTAATGTACAATGCAATTCCTTTACTGCTTGTTTCCGATGGTACCATCTTCCCTGCAAACATAAAAACATTTCTTTATTATTGCATTATAGCTGCATCTAATAAATATATTAGTTTGACACCAATGTCAGTGTACTTCCGTGCAACATATAAAAAAGAAAATACAAAACTAAATATATATTACATTTGACTTTATCAATGCAGTCCAGTCTCAACTTTAGTAAGGCAAACGCTAATCTTATTCAGAATACTTTTATTGAAAACAAACCCAGAAACAAAATCCTCATAAAGGTCTCTTACTGAAATGTTTACCTTTTCAGGGTGCTGAAAACTGGGACTAAGGTCCAATCCTGCAAACGTTTAGACATGTGCTTAACTTTACTTCTATGAGTAACTTTAAACATGTGAGGTAGTCCTATTGAGCTCAAAGGGACTACTCAAATGTGTAAAGTTTCATGTGTAAATGTTTACATGATTAGGGCCTAAAATTGTATTACAGCAAACTAAACACTATTTTTAATTAAAGGTACATATTTTATGAATTATCAGATTTATATAGACACTTTACAAAAAGAAAAGATATCTTATAATTTTTCAGATTATAAACTTCCCAGAAAATTACTTTTGGGGCTAAAGTGTCTTACAATTGTATTTTATCCAAAGGTGAGTTTCTTGGGAAAGTTCTATACCGGGGCTATATCTGAGTTATCAGAAAATAGAAGGAGGAATACTTTCCTTTTGTGACTGTCAAGCAATTAAAAATATTAATCATTATTAATTGTGCAATTTAAAACATTAATCAGGATTAATCTCACTGTTAAACAATAGCATACCATTTATTTAAATACTTTTGGATGTCTTCTACATTTTCAAATATACTGATTTCAATTACAATACGGAATACAAGATGTACAGTGCTCACTTTATATTTAATTTTGATTACAAGTATTTGCACTGTAAAAAAACAAAAGAAATCGTATTTTTCAATTCACCTAATACAAGTACTATAGTGCAATCTCTTTATCATGAAAGTTGAACTTACAAATGTAGAATCATGTACAAAAAAAACTGCATTCAAAAATAAAACAATGTAAAATTTTAGAGCCTGCAAGTCCACTCAGCCCTACTTCTTGTTCAGCCAATCGCTCAAACAAATTTGTTTACATTTTCAAGAGATAATACTGCCCGCTTCTTGTTTACAATGTCACCTGAAAGTGAGAACAGGCGTTCGCATAGCACTGTTGTAGACGTCGCCGCAAAATATTTAAGTGCCAGATGCGCCAAAGATTGGTATGACCCTTCATGCTTCAACCACCATTCCAGGGGACATTCGGCCATGCTGATGATGGGTTCAGCTCGATAACAATCCAAAGCAGTGCGGACTGACGCATGTTCATTTTCATTATCTGAGTCAGATGCCACCAGCAGAAGGTTGATTTTGGTTCAGGTTCTAGAGTTTCAGCATCGAAGTTTTGCGCTTTTAAGACTTCTGAAAGCATGCGCCACACCTCGTCCCTCTCAGACTTTGGAAGGCACTTCAGATTCTTAAACCTTGCATCGAGTGCTGTAGCTATCTTTAGAAATCTCACATTGGTACCTTATTTGCATTTTGTCAAATCTGCAGTGAAAGTGTTCTTAAAACGAACAACATGTACTGGATCATCATCCGAGACTGCTGTAACATGAAATATATGGCAGAATGCAGGTAAAACAGAGCAGGGAACATACAGTTCTCTCCCAAGGAGTTCAGTCACAAATTTAATTAACACATAATTTTTTTAACGAGCGTCATCATGGAAGCATGTCCCCTGGAATGGTGGCCGAAGCATGAAGGGGCATATGAATGTTTAGCATATTTGGCACGTAAATACCTTGCAATGCCAGCTACAAAAGTGCCATGCAAATACCTGTTCTCACTTTCTGGTGACATTGTAAATAAGAAGAGGGCCACATTATCTCCCATAAATGTAAACAAACTTTTTTGTCTTAGTAATTGGCTAAACAAGTAGTAGGACTGAGTGGACTTGTAGGCTCTGAACAAAAAAAAAAATCTACATTTGTAAGTTGCACTTTCACGACAAAGCGATTGCACTACAGTACTTGTATAAGGTGAACTGAAAAATACTATTTCTTTTGTTTATCATTTTTACAGTGCAAATATTTATAATAAAAAATATACACTTTAATTTCAATTACAACACAGAATACAATATATATGAAAATGTAGAAAAACATCCAAAATATTTAATAAATTTCAATTGGTATTCTATTGTTTAACAGTGTGATTAAAACTGCAATTAATTGTGATTAATTTTTTTAGTTAATCGCGAGTTAACGGAGATTAATCGACAGCCTTAATTTTTCCACTCAGATAACTCAAAAATGGTTTTACTTTCCAAACTGAATCTTAGTTTGTATAATCCTCAATGAAGAATGCATGTTAAACAGAGTAACGTGCATGTATAGTACATTGTTTTCCTTACTAGTTATTTAAATGGGCATCAATTGTGATTGTTAAAAAAAATTAGTAATATAACACTATCAATTTACAGGGCACTTTATATATAAGCATACATGTCCTGCTGTGTGTGTTTGTGTATCTCAATAATTAAGCACCTGTGGCGTGCGTGCGTATCTATCTATATAATATATAGAGAGAGAGCGATACACACACACACACACACGCACGCATGCCACAGGAGCTTAATTATTGAGATAGTCATAAAAATGAGTCTGGATATCCAGACTCTGTCCTCATACTTTTGCCACCCCACTAAGTTCAGTGTACTAGAGGAATGAACTGGACTCCATGGGCCAAATCCTAGATTCGCTCTTGCCATAGATGATATTGAGACAGGGAAAGACGGCATGGTTCTGCTGCAAAAACAGGGAGAGGAGTTGGTGGGAACTCATCTCCACATTTGTTCTACACCCTTAGTTTGCTGCAGAGCTCTGCTTCTGTACCCCAGAATGCATGGAATTTTGGGTCAGGTGGCTGCAAGAAGAGTTGGATTAGGGCCTGAAGTTACAGCCCTTCAAGAGTCTGCAGTAGTCTCCATGGCTTGTTGGAAGGATTCTTTTCCACCCATCCCCAGGAGACTTCCCCCAGTCCACAGAATGATCACTCAGGTTGCTAGCTGGTTTGAAAACAGTCCACTGTTTTTACTATGATGTGCAATCATTTGCATTTTATACAGCAGAATGAATGACTTATTCTTTAATTAAAACTACAAAAAACAAGGTACTTGAATGAAAAGCTATACATTAATGCCAAGTTATGATTAAGATTTAACACACAGAGAAGTCAGGAAATTATGTGTTTTAATTTCCCCATGTGTAAGTTGGTCACACAGCACATATTATATATTGAAGTAAAAAACTGTCAATGGATACTATAATAAAAAGTTATATAAGTGCAATATAGCCTAATTAGAATCCTGATACTGATTACTCGTGTGAGTAGCCAATAGAACTATTTACAATTAGTTTGAGCAGATTTATTTCATTTTAAAGAGTATATTTAAAATCCCACATAGAGAATTACAGACATAAATGCATTTGTATATTATATATTACTATTGGAATACATAAAATGGGTAACACTAAAACAAAACATTAAAATAATTAAATAGAATGAGACTGATTTCAGGACATTGAGATACTGTACATGTCTTGAATTCAGCACAAATTAAGACACATAAAAGGAAGATAAAGATGATGGATTAATATGTGAAATGTAGCTTGGGTGAAACAAAGACTGAAGGAATAAACGGATTTTTCTGAGACTCTTTTACCTCTAGAGATGACTGATATTCTGATTTGGGCAGGGAAAGCAGAATTTATATTAGGTGTATTGGGCCACTGAATAAACTTTAAAGTAAAAAGTTGTATAATGTGCTGACCAAATTGGCACAAGCATAGGCTTTAGTGTAAGAATGGACTATGAGCTTTTATTAGATTAAAATCACCTGAGGAGGGAACATCAGATGTGTAGAGGTCACATTCCTCTAACTTAAAAAGCATGATGAGAAATTCTAAATTCAATTTCTTAAGAAAATTCATGTCATCAAGATTAAAATCTCTGGACAACTCCACATTCTGTTCATTTTCCCAATCATTTCTGTGTGACTAATACAAAATATCACGGCTTATTTGAAATCTAATTATCTTCTTGAATCCCAACTGTTCATTTTTCTCAGGATCCTGGAGTATAGCTGTTGGAGATAAACCCACTGGTATTAATGCATAATGATGAGTAGAACAGAATGTGCAGAGTACTCTTTCCTCACATATGTTCAAAGCACAGTCGATAAGAAAAAAAGGTGCAAGGCCATTTGTTTTACTGGACCAGGTTTTTTATCAGTGCAGTTCAATGTAGCTTTCAGGACAGAGAGTGCGATTTGTGAGAAGACCCTTTGTGGAATAAATGATCTGCTAGCACACTTCATACATAAAACTAGTCAAAAACAATGAAAATAGAAAATATGTTTTCTGAGGTATATTACAAAACCCAGTATTTTACTTCCTACACAAGTGCAAAATAACCAGGACTCTATTTCACATCTATGATAGAATATATAGCCTTGTATTCTTTATTACAGAGAAAACTAATTCACAGTTAAAGGCAGGGATCGGATTGGGTCAGGTCATGGTATTACGCTTATATAAGCAATTCCTTGGTGGCCCACTAGTTTCTACAGAAATTAAGCCTTCATTTTAAAATAATTATTTCTAGTCCCTATTGTCTCAAAGACAATGTTCTGAATGGGACTGGATTCAGTGCCGAATCTACAGACAAATTGAATGAAAAATGGCTATTACAACCAAATGCTGCTTTTCTTCCTTGGGCACAGAAAGGGCCAAATGCAGTGGAACAATGATGATTCAACTGCACAAAGAAAGAGGGTTTGGCTGCACAGGGAACTCTACAGAAGTGGTTTCATGAAGTGACCTAATAAATCTGTCACTTTATGATTCCATGCACAACTCCTTCCCTCAGTGAGGGGGATATGTATATGGGTTTCAACATTACCAAATCCTGTGGGTTGTATTA